CATGGAGATAGTTAATAGATAATGAGCAGAAAAGGAGAAGATACTTGCAATATCTAAAACTGGCAAAGAATTTATACTACTGTATATGGAAAATCAACATAAAACAACAAAATATAGAAAAATGGATAAAGATTATGAGCGGTCATTTCAGAAGAGAAAACATACAAAAATGACTAGCCTATGACAAGATGCTCAAAATCATTGGTGATCACCCAAATGCAAATTAGCACAATGCAATACAATTCTGCACCTATTACACTGGAAAAATAAGAGAGCTGGGAAGTACCAAGTATTCACAGGAAAGTGGAATGTTGGTGGATATAGATGGGTGCTGCTTAGTCTGGACTTATGTAGCCAAAGTAAATATATGCATATCCTGTGACCCTGAAAATTTCTTTCTGGGGATGTTTACCCAGTAAATTCCCACACAGTCCACGAGTTTGTCCACGGGCTGTCTATGCTGGCGAGGAGTTGAAGGCAACCTAGATGTTCATCACTGAGAAAATGAATAAAAAATAATTGTGGTAGTTGTACCCCATGGAACAGCATGTTTCCAGTGCCCAGCTGTTGAAAGTGAGGGTCAGATGTATACATAGCACCACATGGATGGATCTTAAAAACACAGTGCTATTGAAAAACAGTAGGGAACATGAACTATATAACATAAAACCAGGTATGTAAATCTAAAATGCATGTATAGAAAACAATAACAATTTTTCAAGAGCATATTTCTACAAGGAAACAAAGTAGACAAGAAGGGGCACCCCATGGAGCAATGTGATGGTGCTCTGCACGGAGGACGATCACTCAACCCTCTGCCCCTGAGGCTGCACCAGTACCATGGAGTGACTGGCCTTTTACAAGTTAGATTTTAAAATCAGTACCATACTTATCAGTACCATGTGAGGTGCTTTAGAGGCTGTGTCGGTAACCTTCCCAATAATGCCCACTTTGCAGAGGCAGCAGTTAAAGCTCTGGGCAGTCCAGTGACTTGCCCACGGTGTACAGTAGAAAGCAGGAACTTGAAGCCAGGCCTTTGTGCTGTCTTTATGCCATACTGAAACCCATTGGAAGGCGGAAAGGCCCAGCTACTTATGTCGAGTCCATGCACTGGGTACCTATGAAGAATCTGAGGACCAGGCTGCAGTCACCAGCTGTGACATCAGGAAGCCCAGAGGGGGCCTCTCCGTCTTCTCCTTCCTGGAACAACTGGGGTAGAAGAGAGGGCACTGGCACACTTTTCCCTGAAGGACTTGGCAGTTTTGTCCAATTCTGAGACACTGTGCTGGGTTCCTTTGCGTTGAGCTCTGGCTGACTGTACGAGTGGCTGGGACTTCTTCTTCGGCTTCGGTGTGCTCTTTCTGACTCTTCAAGGGCAGAGACAATGTGCAGTCTCTCCATACAACCCAAACAGCCCACACAACAAAGAGGAGATGTCTGGGTATTAGTTATGTTCCAACTGAAGTCAAATGCAATGCTGATATCCATCACATTAGTTTGGTAGACCCCTTGATTTGAAAGTGATTTGTGTCTGCCTGAAAGAAATCAGGTTGTGAAAAAATAAAAATCATAATTACAAAGGGACTGTGCCTCATGGCAGTATTATCTACAGGTGATTCACTATAGCATCCCTGGTGAATGTGGGCAGAGTGGACACACATTATGAGCCAACAGAGTCTGGGCTGGCCACCAAATGTCTTAGAATCCCACAGCCGAGAGGTGTAAGAGCCCCTTGGCTCTTGACAGCTACCACCAAGACTATGGCAAAGAGTATGGGCCTTGGAGTCAAGATGGCCCTAGGTTCAAACTCCAGCTTAACCTCTAACTGTGGGACCTTGAGCAAGTATCTTTGTTCTTTAAGCCTTAGTTTTATTATCTGCAAAATGGGGATAATAGTACATTCCTCAAAGGACTATTATGACAATGCTCTGCAATTGTGAACGGAAAGTATATAACAGAGTACCCGGAACCCGGTAAGCACACGATTATGTTCATTATTTTTGTGGTTAGAATTATGAACAAATCTCCAAGAATGGAGCCACCCTTGGCAATGTAAGCAATACTTTGTATAGCAAAGTAGAAATAAACTCGATAATCTCTGTTTAAGTGGGCAGAAAACACAGTGGCTTACTCGGGGTCACAGCCAAACACAAAAGAATTGGTTACAGTTCATCTTTAATTCATTCACACACTGAAATGTTTTACCTACACAGAAAATATTTTTGTATGTTAAGTTTCCCTAGTATTTTTTTCTGGAGGGTGCTTTTGTAAAACAATTTAGAATAGTACATTCTTAGATTTAGGAAGGAATATTCATAGAAGTCATCCAGCTGGACCTTTTCCAATTTGGGAAATCTTTTTCAAGCATCTCCCCAGCCCTACCCTGGCAAACAGTGAATCAGGTTCTGCTCAAATAACTGCAGCCACAGGGAATTTGTGGCTTTGGCAGACAGTTTTTGCAAGTTACTACAGTCCTCCTCATGGTCAGCTCTTTCCCCCTAAAACCATCAGCATCAACATCAAAAGTCTGTACTCAGTGGACAAGACTCTAGGTCCCATGAGAAATGAGCCCAGGTTGTGGTTCACTGCCACATTCAGAGTGTCGTGGAACCTAAGAGATAGCCAGAGATATCTGTTGGATGGATGGATGGATGGATGGATGGATGGATGGTAGATAGGTGAATGGGATGCCCTCTCTGGGTGCTATAGAATAAGTTACACATATATTCCCCCATCATACTGAATCTAAGGCATGCAATAATGCACTTCTATCTAAATTGAAGATTTGGGGAGATTTTATGGGAGATAATTATAGAACTGTAAACTATCCTAGGCTTGAGTGTCAGCAATGAAAATCTGCTTTAAAGTGAATTACCCACTGATGACAGGAGTATGAGTAGCGGTCAGATGAAAAACAGTCTCGTTCACTCTCAAATATTAACACTAACAAGTGCCTGAGAAATAATTATTAAGAATTGCATCCATTTTCAAATGATATCACTTATCATGCATTTTGAATTTAGTATAATGCCTCAGATCTTAATAGAAATATATGTCATTCTGAATTAGTTACGAGGACAAACTTTGGACAGAATCTGTTTATACTTTCCCAAAATGTGTACTTACTCATTAACACCATGGTCTCTTTCTCAAATTATGTCATTGGATGTATTAATTGTTATATCTCAGAACAAGGTTGTTGATAGTGTTCACATTACAAATAAATAAGTGCATTCACCTTTACTAATAAAGACGGCAACTCACCTTTCTCCAAACTGCCATATCTTGCATTAATTTCTTTTTCTTTTGCAGAATTTCATTTGCTCAAAGTTTCAAGTGACCAAAACTGATGTATTGTTTTCTTTACAGGAGGAGGGGAGAAGCATTAGGTACCTGGTACCCAGCAAAAACCCTGAGTGCAGAATTATAAGTGAAATTTCTCAAAGTAACAAAGGGCTAGGTGAGGGGTTCTTCGCTGATACAACCAGGTCACAAGCCTAAGAAGACTTGTGGGGTGTGGCTGGCTCCCTCCCCAGGACCTGCTCTATTTTGGATCTGGGCTTTGAGGGCCAGGCTGTGCTCCTTCTCCCGACCTCAGGCTCCAGGAATTTGGATCCAGTGGTAGAGACATTGCAGCGATTGCCAGCTTCCTTCCTCTGCTTTCTTGTGATGCAAAGCAGGTTCTGCTCCACTTTTTAAATGAAAAGAGGAGCACATTGCTGCTGGAGACCCACAGAACAGAATCAAACAAGGAAACGCAGCAGTCTGATACAAGAGTCCGTGAGTAAGCAGCCCACCATGGTGCACCATGCAGGGGATGTAGTCGAGGGGAGCCCAGGGACATGAAGGGTCTGATGGCTGAGTGTCCTGGAGGGAGGTGATAGGAGCTGCAAGAGCACTGAGACTTGGTCATTTCATAAAGGACTGGGCTGGGCTGCGCTCCCTCCAAATGCGCACAAGGGAAAGGCATCCACATACACACACGTCCCACCCAGATCGGACGCAGTCATGAAAGCACTGCCTCTGGGCTTGGCTGCAAGCAGCAAGAGGTGGAAAAAAGAGGGTGCTTTTCACCCTGGGACTTTATCTGAAGGGAACACCACTGAGCCCAGTGGCCTTACTTGCAAACTTCTCATAGGAAGTGAGTTTGGACTGGAACTCTCACACCAGTCATGGCTGATACCCACGTCAGACAACTTAGCAAAAATGGCTGTGGCAGAGTCACTGAAACCACTTTGCACTTTGCACTAATTTCCAGGAGGGGCTATTTCGGTCCTAGGAGTAATGTTTGTATAATTCTGCTCTCTGTTAAAGTGGCTTTTTCAATAAAACAATTTATATCACAAGAATTCTTACATTCTAGGTATGATTAGCTCATGTATCAATATTTTAAGGAGTGTTTATAATCTCAGTATTTTATATACCACTCACAGAACACCGGGACTGGAGTCAGGAGCCTATCGCATTCCTCGTGTGTTTTCTTAAATGATTCCCTGAGCTCTCTATACCTCATCATCTCTGTATTTGAATATAACAACAGCTACCTTGTAAGATTGTTGTAATGATTAACTGAGAAAATACAAATTTCTTTTTTTAACATATGATTTATCATCATCATCATCATCATCATCATCATCGATGACAGACATAGCACAGCTCTCAGCAAATACCAAGGGAAACCAGTAGGATGTACTTCTTGCATTTCTTTTGCAGCATATGGTTGCTTCTTATCTGACCAGGACCTGACCAAGGTCACACGTCTAATAAGGGACAGAAGCAGGCCTAAAAAATCCAGGCCACTGACTGACAGTTTTGTTTCACAGCGAGTGTTCCTAATGTGGACACACAGGAGCTGGGGACCGGCTGGGACTGGGAGCGGGTGCGCGGCTGCTAAATGAACGCCTCCCTCCAGCCTTCTCACCCCCCGCACAGAGCAGGACGTCCCAGGTCTGGGTAGGATGTGCCGGTCTCTGGTCTCACCCTGCAACTCTTCCCTCTGAATGCAGGACCCCCTGCCCCCATGCGACCTCCCCTGCTCTCTCTCTTCCTCCCCTCCTGTCTCCGCGGAGGAAACTGCGACCTCCGCTCCTGGGGACCTGACTGGTGCAGGCGAGCTTGCACTCGGCCTCTGCCAGAGCGTGGCTGCAGACACGAATGGAACGAACCTTGTCATTTCTCCCGCCGGCATGACCACCCCTCGAGATCCTGCAGTTTAACAGTGGCGGGCAGCGGGCAGAGACCCTGGGTTACACTGTCCACAGTAAGAGGCTGCTGGCTTGGCTCACCGCACCCCTGGCCTCCGCGCTCAGCCCCCGCTTCTCATGCTGGGCACCAACCGGAGGGGGACTGCTTGGCAGAACTGTAACAGGAGGCATTTAAACTTTGGGTCGTGGTTACCCTTGACTTTTAAGGTTCCTTTTCAACCTTGGATTCCATTCCAATTTTTCAGTTTCATTTCACAAGCCCTTTACAGTGCTTACTAGGTGCCAGGCTGTGTTCCAAGCACCTAACAATTTTACTTTAATTGTCACAACAATCCTATTGAGATAGGCAGTTATATCATCATCCTTATATTAGAGATGAGCAAATAGGCACAGACACTTTAAGCAACTTGCCCAAGGCCACACAGCTAGTGAGTGGCAGAGTTGAGACATAAGCCCAGGCTGTCTGCCTCCGGAGCCCAGCTCTTGACCAAACTGCTTTCACAAATCTGTGACTTGCGCCCGTGCCATCTCTACCCACATATCTTTATGATTATGTAGTTTACAACAATTCTACCAGCAGAGGCAAGACTCTCATGAATGCTACGTCAGACACACCTGGTCTACACTCAAGGCCTTGTCTTAATGCCTGGCTGTGGTATTATTAACTACCAACTGCAATGCTAACACACTCATCCACATAATATTTTTTTCTCTATCTTAAAACGAGTTGTCAATAAAAAAGATGGGAATTACAATGGTGTAAGTTAATATTTTTTAGAAAGTACAAGAACTAATACCAACACAGTCTTGGTAAGAACTTCCTCTGAGCTGGAATCTTGAGCTGGCATGAACAGTTAGCAAGGCCTCAGGCCATGGGTACCAGCCATGCTTCCCACCCCCCTTCATCCACACCCAGTCCCTGTCAAAGCAATTCTCATGATCCTGCTGGATCAATGATAAATGTGTTTTCTCTCTGGGGTCACCAAAAACAAACATAAGTTATGGAGCTTAATTTTTCTTAGACAGTATATCACCAAAGTGGCAATATCCATGGAGTTATTTGTCAGCCACCTTAGACTCAGTGCAACGCAGTTCTCCAAGGACTCCTGAGCTCGCTGTGCGGCAGTGCTGGGCCAGGAACTCAGCATCCAGAGCTAGGAGAGCTCTGAGCACAATCAGGTCCCACAGGACTGAGGCCCATGGAAATAACACTCTAATTCAGGGAAGTAAGTGTATTTATTAAGATCGGTTAGTGCCTTGGCCGGTTTGGCTCAGTGGTTACAGGTGGGCCTATGAACCAATGAGTCACGGGTTCGATTCTGATCAAGGTTACAGTTGGTCCCCAGCCCTGGTCAGGGTCGTGCAGGAGGCAACTAGTCAATGTGGCTCTCTCACATCAATGTTTCTTTCTCTCTCCCTCTCTCTTCTTCCCACCCACTCTATCTGAAGAAAAATGGAAAAATATCCTTGGGTGAGGATTAAAAAAAATGAAAACAAAAAAAAGATTGTTAGTACTGCAGGGCAGAGGGAGAATGATTTAGTCCACTGGCAAATCAGGAAGGCTCCCAGAAGATGACATATGAACGGAGTTATGAAGACCAAATACAAATATGAAAGAGGGGCAGGCATTTCAGCCTAACTTAAATCAGAGTCTCTGAGAGGTCAGGATTAAGAGAAAAGGGACAAATGCTAGTATAGCTATCCTGCAAAGCAAGGTACAATCATGGTAGCTGGTCAACCAAATATGATAATTAGTAGGATTTTCATAAAACCCATTCAAGAATTACCGATGTCAAGAATGTTTAGAAATTCTTCTAGGAATTCCAAAATGGCGGCGGAGTGAACGGAAGCTACACAGACCGTCTCCCAGAACCAAACTGGAATTACAACTAAAACACAGACAAATCGACGGGAAAACCCAACAGAAAAGCAGCTTGTGAGAACCATATAACCAAGGACACTGACTCCATCCTGGTAGGCTTGCGAAGGCACGAACAGGGGCTGGGAGCCCACGGTCGGCAGCTCGGCAGCGGCCTCAGCTGGGAGCAGCGCCCTCGGGTTACACTCCCAGGCGGCCCCACAGCGCAGCCGGGACAGAGGCTAAAACAGCCACAGCCACTCACCTTGGGCTCCGGCAGAGGGAGGGCAGACTGGACTGGAGCTGTGTTGGGACATTCAGGATTTGGAGGGCACTCAGAGTTTTTGCTGAGTTGCTGCCACGCAGGACAGTGGCCACATTGCTCCTTCCCAGGGCTCTGGGGAGAGTCAGCAGCCCCTCCCTCAGAGATCCAACCCCACCCTGTAGGCCACTGAAGTGCTAATTGAGGCTCATTAACAACCAGCATCTGCCCCACCCTCGTGAAATCGCCTTATGCTGAGCACCTGAGGGAGTTTTTCAAACAACTGACAACCCAAAATCCATCAAGTAACCTCAACTGCTAGCCTCCAGGCAAAAAGCTAGAGGATAACAGTACCTTTCCTGGGCTAGCAACTTTAACCAGGAAAGTAAGACTTGACAGTGGTGTTTAATGTGGGTCCTCCCTCGCTCATCTAAACCCAGGAGAGGGAGCCATAAACAGCAGAACACCAACACCCACAGGGAAACCTCGACAGGCTCCAAAGGCCACTGTGATAGCCAAAATGGTGAAACACAGAAACCAAATGAAAGAGCAAGAGACCTCCACCGAAGATGATATCAATGTGGAGCAGTTAGACATGTTAACAGAGCTAGAATTCAAAGCCATGATCTTGAGAAAGGTCAACAGCAGCCCTGGCTGGTTTGGCTCAGCGGTTGGAGCGTCAGCTTGCGGTACAGAGACCCGGGTTCGGTTCCCGCTAAGGGCACGTACCTCGGTTGCAGTTTGTCCCTGGCCCTGGTTGGTCGTGCGGGTGGCAGCCACTCGATGTGTCCCTTCACATCGATGTTTCTCTCTCTCTGTCTCTCTTCCTCTCTCTCCCACCCGCTCTATCTGAACAAAAAATAGAAAAATGTCCTCGGGTGAGGATAAAAAATAAAAACAATAAAAAGAAAGCTCAACAGCATGAGTAAGGACATAGAGACGCTGAAAATAAGCCAATTGGAAATTAAAAACCATCAAGAAGAGATAAAAAATGACATATCAGAAATGAAAAACACCTTGGAAGGTTTAAAAAGCAGAGTAGAGGAAACTGAGGACCAGATCAGTGAATTAGAAGATAGGGTAGAAAAAATCAACCAATCAGAAAACCAAAAGGAAAAAACAATTAAAAAAACAGGAGGACAGTTTAAGAGAACTGTGGGACAACTGGCGTAATAATATTCGCATCATATGAGTCCCCAAAGAAGAATAAAACGAGCAAGGGTTAGAGAATATATTCAAAAAAATAGTGACAGAAAACTCCCCTAATTTGGTGAAGAAAGAAGGCATTCAAGTTCAAGAAGCACAGAGAGTCCCAAGTAAGAAGAACCCAAACAGGCCCACACCAAGACACATAGTATTTAAAATGCCAAAAATTAAAGACAAAGAGAGAATCCTAAAAGCAGCAAGAGATAAGCAACAGGTTACCTACAAAGGAAACCCATAAGGCTCTCAGCTGACTTCTCACAAGAAACACTACAGGCCAGAAGGGAATGGCATGAAGTAATCAAGGTCATGAAAAACAAGGATCTGATCCAAGACTACTCTACCCAGCAAGGCTGTCATTCAAAATAGAAGGTCAAATAAAGAGCTTCTCAGACAAAAAAAAAAAAGGCTAAGGGAATACATTAGCACTAAACCAGCACTGCAAGAAATGTTAAAAGGACTGCTGTAATTAGCAGGAGAAATGGGAAGAAAAATAGAACCACGCTAAAGAAAAATGGCAATAAATAAGTATATAACAATAATCACCTTAAATGTAAAAGGATTGAATGCTCCCATAAAAAGACACAGAGTAGCTTATTGGATAAGAAAGCATGACTCATCTATATGTTGTTTACAAGAGACCCACCTCACAACAAAAGAGTCACATATGTTGAAAGTGAAAGGATGGAAAAAAATCTTCCAAGCAAACGGAAAGGAAAAAAAAGCCAGAGTAGCAATACTCATATCTGATAAAATAGATTTCAAAATGAAGGCCATAACTAGAGAAAAAGAAGGCCACTACATAATATTGAAAGGATCTATCCAACAGGAACATATAACCTTGATAAACATATATGTACCCAATATAGGAGCACCAAAATATATTAAAAATCTTCTGGAGGACTTCAAAGGAGAAATCAACAGCAATACAATCATAGCAGGGGACTTCAACACCCCTCTGACACCACTGGATAGATCCCCTAGACAAAAAATTAGCAAGGAAACAGAGACTCTAAATGAAGCACTAGACCAAATGGATTTAATAGATATCTACAGAGAATTACACCCCAAAACTACAGAATACACATTCTTCTCAAGTGCACATGGGACATTCTCAAAGATAGACCACATGATAGGACACAAACTAAATCTCTACAACTTCAAGAAGACTAAAATCATATCAAGCATCTTCTCATATCACAATGACATGAAACTAGAAATCAATTGCAACAAGAACATGCAAAGACATTTCAACACATGGAGGCTAAATAGCATGTTGTTGAACAATGAAGGGGTTACCGAGGAGATCAAGGAAGAAATTAAAAATGTCCTGGAAACCAATGAAAATGAACACAAAACAACACAAAATTAATGGGATGCAGCAAAAGCAGTTCTGAGAGGGAAGTTCATAGCACTACAGGCCTCCCTCAAGAAACAAGAAAAATTTCTAATTGAATGTCTAACCTCACAACTTAAAGAATTAGAAAGCAAACAAAAAGAAATCCCCAGAGCAAGTAGAAGAAAGGAAATAGTAAAGATCAGAGCAGAAATAAATGACATAGAGACCAAAAAAAAAAAAAAAAACAATTCAAAGGATCAATGAAACAAAGAGCTGGTTTTTCGAAAAGATAAACAAGATTGATGGATCCTTAGCTAGACTCATCAAGAAACAAAGAGAGAGAACCCAAATACACAAAATCAGAAATGAAAGAGGAGAAGTAACAACCGACACCACAGAAA